GCTGAACAGGGTGTTTAAAGAGATGTAGGGGCAGGATTAACCCATCAGCATTTGGGCTAACATAGCCTGATGAAGCAAGGTCTGCAGGGATACACAGAAGACAAATTAAACAGAGTTCTCCTTTCAGCCAGAAGTAAGGAGCTCCATGCAAGGAGTGGTCAATTTTAGGTGACCTTTGAGCTCTTCCTAAAACAAATGTTGCTTACATAAATCACCTGGCTGAGATGATACAGAAACAACTTGATTGTTCCAGGCTGGGAAAAAAGCACTTGCTTATTTGAAAGTTGTCTGCTAGAGCTCTAAAAGGTGGGCTAGATATCCATCTTCTTTGACTTGCTTAGATGGCAGTTATGATGGACAGGATAGGGTCTCAGGCCAGAATTCATTATAGGCTTCCAGCGATAAACTGAAATTTGGACAGATATTATACGTTCAGTGCATAAATGATGGATTAAGGTTATAAGGTTCATGCCAGGTCATGGGATGGTCATCATAATGAAACCACTATAACTGACAAGACCTCAGAGTAGGCTGCAAATGTAGTCAAAGGTTTCTTAACAAAGTCCACTGATGCAGTGCTATAACATGCAAATATAGTACTGCAGTTACTAGACAGCCTGCTGCAGTAGGTTAGCTGCTCTGCAGGAACTGCCCTTTCTCTCAGTAAATGTGAAGTAGATCAGCCCTCCTTCACAGAGAAACAAGCCATCGCAAATTATCTTGTACTAGCTCTTTCCCATGCTCCCTATTCTGGCACTCCTGATGTGCCTTCCACGTCATCTGCTTTCTTCATACAACTTCGCTAGCCCACTGCAGCCCTGTGGTCCTGCACTCCCAGCTTTTGCCATCTCAGCTCTCGGACTTCTGTGCTCCCGCAGCGCCAGCTCAGTCCTTATGCAGGATGCTGCTGAGCACAGGTAAGGGGAATAAGATGCTGCTTTGTTACCACACACATCAGGCGCTGGGTCCGATTAGCTGATAGGTGATAACTGCCCATAGGCAAGGTCATTTGAGAAATAAACTCTACGTAACCGTGCAGTTACTGTGGATCAGCTCATAAACGGCAATATGGAGCCCTCTTTGGGATGATAATCCTAAGAGACTGTTTCATGCAAAACCACAAATGGTTTTCTTAAAGGATTTTAGTTTTCCTGTAGAGACATCCCTTCTGGTCTTAAAAAGCCATGATACTTACACAAGGCTGAGATTAATTCTAGCAGCAAATTGTCTCAGTTATGAAGTACAAATATAGAACTAAATGTAATGATGTCCTCACAAATGAGGCAATACACATCCATACTTGCTTACTGTAATCCCTTGTGCCTTCTGGTAAACCAGGAATCGTAGCCTTAAAAAACAGCAGCAGGGAGGTATTGGTGATCAAGATGAATGGGTTAAAGAAAGGAACTCTAGTAAAGACTGTGCTACCCTTTTGTGTTTTAACAATGAGAGGAAGCTCTGCCTAGTTTGAGGAATTTCCCACGTCTCCAGTTCAAACTTTGGAAAACTGCTTTATTAAGCCTGTCTAAGAGGTGTTAAAAAAATAAAAATAATCAAGCAGATTGGGACAAAGATATCTTTCTGGAGCCTACGCATGTTCTCCATTTGTTTGTTTTTTGAACTTGGATCACTGGAGGCAAAGTCACAGGAGAAGATCTAGGGAAGTTAAATAATGAGAAATGCCAAAGACTCACACCGAGTTCCCTGCTGAGCTGGCTGAGCTGTACTGAATTCAGCCGAGTATCACTGCTAGGCAGAGGCTAAAGATTTGCCCCTACATTTGCTTACATAACATTTCAGTCCAGAATAGTTTGCCAAGACAATTTTGCTAAGTTTTACAAGACAGGCTAAGGGACAGAAACAGATGAGGAATTTTTTGGGTGAGAGGGAGATCTAATAACTAAGAAATATGGTTTTCTCTGTGCAACAGCAAGTAATGGTGCAGGGAGAAACAGAGCCTTTAGCTTTCAAATCCCAACATCCTTTCCCTTGCCAGTTCCTTGCCACTTCCAAACTTGTTGCTTCCCATAAAACTGTCAGTGACCTTGAGAATTACAACAGTTGGACAATAACACCTTTCTCCCCGAATCTGGCAGCCCTTTATGCAGGTAGGTATGCATCACTTTCCCACTGACGGGGAGAGGGAGCAGAGAAACAGGCTTGTGCAAGGTCACACAGCAGCTGTGTTTTTCTCTGAATCTCAAGGACTTATGTGACTGGTACATACTGCTATATTCCATATTTTTTGGATGGATATGGACTTTTGAGACTATTTGCATCAGTGGAAGTAAAAGCATTTGAAGGCACCCCTGTACCCCCCTTGACATTGATCACTGGGAAAAGCACTCCAGCACTCCAACGTGATACAATAAAACTGAATTTATGTAAGAGCAACTCAAAACACAGGTAATAAAAAACGGAAACAAGATAAATGTGACATACAGCACTCAAAGGTGGTATGCAGCAGTGCCTCAGCCTGGGGCCCTGTGTGCCCCAAATTCCTCTACCCTGTCAGTAAGTGTCATCTAACGTGAAACTAAATGGGGCTGCAAGAGATTACACTTAAAAGAAACAAAGCGACCATCTTGCATGCCTGACAAGAATATTGTGCCTGTTGCCTGCATTGCAAAACGCAGTCACAGCCCATGGTAAGAATGAGATAAAGTGAAAAAAAAAAAACCTAGCAGCTATTGTAGTTGATCTGTTTTTACTGAAACTGTATCTAGCCTGCCTCATGGTAATAAATAGGAGGTAATAAATGCCAAGCAGATGAATAGAGTATTTCCTTGCACCTCCCTCTCTTCCCTCTGCAGCCCTGAGTTTAACCTAAGTTAGTCATAGTCTCAATTAAAACTCACTAGACAGGCTAACAGAGGTTAACACTTTGTCAGAGGCTTGAATGCTTTAATCCTTTCCCCAAGAAGCCAAAAGCATCCTACAGAAACCTATCGTCTAATCACCACAAAATGAAAAATGGCCTGATTGCAGTTCTCTCAGTGGAAATCTGCAGCAGGTTTACTGATCATGCAAAGCTTGCACTGACACGTCAGGATCTGGCCCTGAAAATTCTTTGATGCCACCTTCGCCTGTCCCAAACCATGAAACCACGCATAGAGACTGATGCTACATTTCACAGACATCGTCCTTACCTGTAGGACAGCAAGTGCGGTCTTGTCCAAGTCTTTTCCCAACTTGTCCTCCTGTGCTGGGAGGGAAACTTCTAAAGTGTCAACTCCTGCCTCAGTCTCTTTGTTTTCCCGAGAGCTCAAGGCGCACCTGCTTTTTCGCCTGTGTTGTCGGTTGCTGGGTTTGGGGTTTGTTTTCTTTTCTCTTTGAAACAAAGTAAAACAGCCTGTGAGCAATTCTCAATGAGTGAGAGAGAGCGAACCTTTTGGCTTGCAGGGATTTAATCAAACAAACCCTGCAACCTCCCTTTCCTGCAAACGGTCCCTTCTCCACCAGTGCCGGGCAGAGTTGTAGCTGAAAAACACAAGCCTGAAAGCACTGTGCTGAATGGGCAGGGCAAATCTTCCTTCTCTGTTATGTCAGAGAGCACGGTAATCCCTGCTGGTCTGGAACACGGAGGTGACCCCGGCCAGGAAGGAATGTGGGAACTATAATTTTGTTAAGTGTTTTCCTGCCACGGGGTGGGGGGGAAGTGGATGGAAGGGACACTTGCGTGGGGGTAGGCATAGAGCTGCCGGAGAGTGTGATTTTGAGATGAGGAAAGCACTTTTTTGGTCATCAGTGGTGTGGAAGTAGAAGGAAGGATCATTTTTTATAGAGGAAACTTTTTAAAACTGCTTTATTAAGTGAGAGCCTCAGTCACCACTATCCAGGGTGATCCGGAGCCTAAGTCATGTAGGTGCTTTTCAGACTTTCAGCTATGGTGCCTTTCATGCCAAGAGACACTGAGATGCTTTGCAAATTAATATGGGAAAGTATTACCCCGTGGAGCTGGCACTCAGCAACACCCCAGTGACTCATTTGTAACACAAGGGCCCTTTGTCAGGGTACATAAAAAATCTGGACGGTCTCAGAGGTTGAGAAAGATGGCTACTGCTAGGATAAGCCCCAACTGTGGTGCAGAGGTACTAGTGCCTCGCACTAGGGCTCCCAGAAGGGCATTTTATTACACTAACCAAACTGTGCCCCTGCAAGGGGTAGCGGGGGGGTCCCCAGTGCAAAAGTAGTTTTAGGCAAGGAAAAAGCCTCATGTTGCTCCTCTCTTAGTCCTGGTGCAGATGATGTGTTGAGAAAATCAAGGACACTTGGTGGCCACCTTGCTTTTGTGTCTCCTGCTTTTGCATCATCTCTGATGTTCTTACAAGGTGACATGGTACAGCACTGTGGCCCACTGTTAATCCATGGGAGCATAATTGTCTTCTGCAGCCAGTGGAGGGAAGCATGAGCCATTCAGGTATGATGAGAGTTGCTTTCTGGACGGTCTACTTCTCCCCCTTGGCTGTAGAAGCAGCCGAGGACAGCTATGCTCCCTATTTATTTGTTTCAGTGTCTGAGTGGGGTGAAGCTGTACCCTCTTTTTGAGAATGCCCTGAAGTGGAAAGTTAAATACCTTTAAAGCATGGTGGGAAGAGCTGTGATGAGGACATTGTCTGTAGGACTCCAGTCTCTGCAGCTAATGGCAGCCTTATTTCTGGACAAAATGAGAATTTATCTTAGCATCTGAGTATCTCTACTCAGGATTGCCTTTGAATTACTCTATGATGATCCAGTTCACATTGTAAGGGCAAGAAGCAATACCTGGAGATTTCACTAACGAAGGCACCTCACCTACATGCTCACTTGTATACACCTTTTTTTTTTTTTTTTGCAGAAAGAGGGAGAGAGAGATAGAGAGGGAGCCTTGGACTATGTACTCAACCTTTGTGCTTTTGATTAATGACTATGATCCAAATTTCTTCTAGATTCATTTCGGTGGGCTTTTCAGTTTCATTTCTTTTTGTCAGGCTAGGGCTGGATTTTGTTTTCTTCTATATATCCCCTTCTTTTGGTTGAGATGAGGAAAATACGATGGTTGGAACAGGTAGGAAAGAGGATGATGAGGTTGGGCTACTTTGATTAGTGACAGAGTGATTTTTTTTCTAAGTATTTAGAAAGTCTGAGTGATTATTTTTAAAGTATTTATAAAGCCCTCTGCTATGATTCTTCTTTATTCTTGTTTTGTTGAGTTTTATTCCCAACTATATCCTGATTTGCTGTAGTGGGTGGAAGATGGTTTCTATCCCCACGGTAGTTTCCAGGATTTCAGAACTGTTCCCATTCAACATCAAGATCATTTAAATGTCTTCAAGGAAACGTGTGGTAGACTTATCAGTCATGTATGAGAACAGGAGAGAAATGGGTACTTTAGTTGGATGGCTCTGAAGAGCTGCTGAAGTACCTAAACTCATTTAGGCTAGAGTTGCTTATGCTTTCTATGGACTAACGGGAGTCTTGAAGACTAACTCAGGAGTAGGTATCTACACTGTTGGCATTTCCAGTGAAGTGCGATGAATCCTACCCTTTGTGGAAAGACTCTTCTGCATTTAGTATGCAACTATATTGTGCAAAGTGGAATGGCTCTTTGGGCTTTAACAGAAGAACTCTAAAGCACTGTTCAGCAACAGTATTGTCCAACAACAATTTGATTTGTCTAAGTGAAGACTGGTGGGTGTTTGGCTTGAACACAAGAATTTCGAAGGGATCTAGGAAAGGCTGAACCCATGGATAGTTGAGCAGACCTGGATAAATGCTAGCTACACTTTTAAGTTTCCATTAATTTGTGTTAGAGACCAAGAAAGGCTTGCGGGACCTCAGCTGAGTCCCATTCTCTTTTATCCTACATCTATTCTCTGTCTTTGCATGACAAAGTTTAATCAGCTTGTACAGCATGAAGGACTACAACGCTCTGAAGTTGGCTGGAGCATCTCAGTACGACTATATCGATTATATCTCATAACTTCCACAGGTCGCTAGAAGGATGATATAGCCAATATCTCACAAGCCTATCCTGTCATCAAGGGGCATCATGAGCCTCAAGTGAGCTGCAATACTCCAACACGCGTTTGGCAGCAAAAGGCTCTTTCAGTTGTCCTGGTGATCCTGGCAGATAGCAAAGATTTAACCTTTGCTCATACCAGGAGAGCAAATCCCAACTCACTTTTTGTTCTAATCTGCTGAGAAGGAAGGAAGTAATGAAATGTCTCATTATACAGCGGACTTGACAAATATATTTAGAACTGCTAGTAGTGCTGAAGGTTGCACAGTTTCACAGCAAAAGGAATGATGTGTTCTGGACTGTCTCAGCGTGACCAGTGATCATCTGTAACTACTTCTCTGGATGAATAAGGTCCTTTTTCTGAAGCATCAGGAACTTGTTTCAGTGATAGAACAATTAATGTAGATATTTGGAGGACTTCAGATGCACACTGCTATTCTCCAGCTATATGGGTTTCTTTAAAATGTAAATGACTTGGGTTTGTAATGTGTTTTCTAGGTTAATTACTATGTTCATAAGATTTGTTTCATCATAGAAGAATGACAACTAGAACAATGTGTAGTTCTGTTATCCATATTTTGAAAAAGATTCTACAGAAAAGGCCGACATAGAACACGTGAAGGCTGGAGAACACGCTTCAGGGTAAGAGACTGCAGCAGCTCCAACCTAATTTACTTATTCCAAAGGACACTGAGGCAAAAGATGCTAAATGGCTCTTGAATCTTCTAGAGAAAAGCACAGAAAGAGCAAATGTGGGAAACTGAGGCTGGGCAAATTTAAATTAAAAGGAAGGCCCACCTTTTTAATAATACCAGCAATCAATCATTCATGTAAACTGCAGAGGGATTCACTAATACTTGGTGCATTCACAGCGCAGCTGTCCTCCTTCCTACATGAGGGCCTTCATTTTTCTTAATTATTGGACTCAGCATAGAGATACATCTACTGATGTTTATGGCATACTTAATAGAGGATCTACTCTTTCAAACTTTAGACCTGCAGGAGCTCTTTCACTGTTAAATCAGGGATCTGGATTCTTGAGGGAACTGTGGTTTAAACAAAATATTTTGTCAGGGTTATATAAAGCTTTACATGCTAAAAGTGGTATTGACAATAGGCAACCAGGGGCCTTCATAACTGATAGGAAATCCAACTGCAGAGACATAGGCCACAGTAGAAACTTTTGCAGGATTGTGGAGAACTCACTGAACACTTCTGAAAACCAACAGAGGAAGTGGAAAAAGCCTGTAGCTGAGTAGCCTTTGCGTTTATGCAATTGTTGGATTTCCCTGAACAGAAAGCAGGCAGTCATTGCTTCAGGGATTTTTGACTCAGTCCCTACCCACAAAGCACAACCCACCCATCCCTTTCTGAAAGTTTACACAGCTTCCTCTGGGTTAGCAGGCTTCTGTTTAAAATGGGTGGCTCTAGGTAATAACCTATTTTCCAGTCCTTTCTTCTGACAATGGGCAATGAAGGGAGTGCTTGGTAACTGTGCATTACCAAACAGAAATGATCATCTGTGTTATGTGGCTGTGCAGAGCTCTGCAAAGCTGTATCCTGCATTACACATAGCTAGATGGGTCTGTACAGCACAGTGTGCTGTGGAAAACCCTATTGTTATTGGTATTATCTGCATATACGAGCTATTAGAATAAGTAGTAGTATCATAACACAGAAAAGCTCAGTACTCAGGAGGATACCTTTGCATTGACGGTGTATAGACATGGAGTTCCTGCCCCAAAGGGCAGGACATTCAGTAGCTGAAGACAGAGGGGGCAAGACAAGGAAACAAAAAATGGTAATGCCTCAACTAGCACGTTAAGGGACAAACTAGGACGATGTTCAGACGTAATGTGAGCAAAAGTGGACACCAGCAGAAGGAGATGAAATAACATTGCCATCATCACCGTGTTGCCATCAACGAGGTGGTCAGAGCCTGGGCGTGGATAAAGGAAAGAGGATATATCTTGGAGCTGGTAGCAAGCAGAACCTGTAGGATTTAGGCAGGACCCAAATAGGAGCATTTGAAGAGTTAAAGCTCAGATAGTGCTCACTTTTTCACATGGGAATAACCTAACTCACGTGAAGACTCCATCTGGGAGTGCTTTCAGGGCCAAGGCCTTCCTTTTGAAGTCTGATCACATTAACACATAATCCAGCATGGTGGCAAAGTGGATGTATGTGGTTATGATCACAGGGGAAGGTGTAGAGAAAGAGCTCTGGGAGGTTTTCTTCCCCACTGGTCTCCATGATAGGCACAATAGTGGAGAGTGTACTGCCTTCTTATGTTCTCATGCCCCTTTTATTTTAATTTCATAAAGAAGTACTATATTTATTTAGGAGAGAGAAAGGCTTATGCAGGCATAAGGATGATAAACTTGTCTAGGAAGACATAGTTTTAAAATTCTTGTTCTGGCAGCATTTGTGATCTTAAGCCACAACATCTTAGCCTAGCTCCTCAAAACCTTTTTTGATGCTGAACTTCCTATGGAGGGGAAGAGGAAGGGCTCTGCTGCCTGTGAACCTCGGTAACTGCTGAGATGGCT